TATGGTGTATACTCCCATATTCTTACTGATATATACTGTCCCTGTTAATTAGATTTCTGCATAGCTGAAGGCAAAGGGGTGGGGTTTTTTTTGGAGTTGCACTGGAATTTTTTTTTAACTATGAATAGTCAAGTAGAAAAACAAAAATTAGTTGGGTTACATTTTGACTGTGCCTGACATTAAAAATGAACAAGTGATAGACTTGGATATAAAGCATTTGGAACATGGTGCTTTGTCTTACAGAACATCCAGCTGAACGGGCGGGCATTTTCTTGAATGGGCTTCATAAAACAGTAGTTCTGAAAGATGTTATTAGCTGTTTCCGGGCCAGTCAGTTTGAAAATAGGGTATGCTGGATGCTTCTCTTGCAGATTCCTAATGCATATTAGCATATTAAAGATTTTGAGATGCTCCAAGACATAGAAACATCTTTAATCTTTCTAGCCTAGCATTTCCTGAACTTACTTGAGCAGGGAGCCTTTGTTGGTTGTGTACTTGTTAACAAGAAAACACTGGTATAGACTATGTCTTTTTTATTCAAGAGAGACTCATTGAGCACTGGCTCAGCACTGGCAATGCAGAGATAAAAGGCAGAGCTTACAGCCCCAAAGAATTTGTATAAATAGACAAGATCAGAGTTAGACGGTGAGGCCTGTGATTGAGGATGCTTAGGGTATTGTAGGAACACAGAAAGGGGCATCTGATCTTACAGACCCCAACCTGCATCCTGAAGCTCATGCATTTATTCCAGAATCTTTTATAGTACCTACTATAAGCCAGGCATGCCCTCAACCCAGGGCAAAAGCACAGAACTGAGGAGAATCCTTGTCCTCTTGGATGGTATATTCTAGAAAGGAGACAGGCAAGAAACAAGATGAATAAGTACAGGTGTATAATTTATTACATAGTAATAAGTGCTAAGGAGAAAGATACAGCAGGGAGGGGATAAGAGGGTGTGTGTGGTGAGGTGACTGCAGTTTAGCTAGGGTTGCTAGAGAAAATCTCACTTGGAAGGAGACATTTGGGTAGAGACTGGATGAAGTGAGGGGCAAACCAAGCGAATCTCTGGGGAAAAGGTCCAGGCAGAAGGAACAGGAAATGCAGAAGCCTGAGGAGAAGCGAGTCTGGTTGTCTGAGAAACAGCACAGAGCCAGCATAGTTGGAGTGGACTATGCAAGGGAGAGGGAGTAGTTGATGAGGCCAGGAAAGTGAATGGAGCTAGATCACATAGGACTTTATAAGCCATTACATGGCCTTTGGCTTTTATCCTGAGTGAGAAGACAAGGCATAGAAGGGATTTGAAAATGCAGAGGAGTAACAGGATCCATGAGAAAGTGGGATGGGTTTAGGGATTGCAGGTAGCTCATTCTGACTGGAGCACAGGAAAGGGCAAAAGTGAGGTGCATGGGGCCTTCTAGCCCACTGAGCGGCTGAGATTTTTTCTTGAGATGATGGGAGCAATGAAGAATTTAAATAGGAAGGACACATCTTTCTCTTAGATCATTTGGCAGCAGTGTGATGAATGGATTTGAGGGTGGGAGGCGAATCTGAAGGCAGAAGAAAGAAAGCTGTTGATGTAAACAAGGAAGGTCTGAGCTGAGGGGGTGGTGGGGCTAGAAGTGACAAGATCTGGTGTGCAGTTAGCTGTAGAGGGAGCAGTCACAGGTGACTCTTTTCTGACTTGGGCTGCATTCTGAATGGTTGATGCCTTTCAACATCAGGATGCAGGTTTGAGTTAATGTGAAAATGAGTTCCTATTAGACCTTGTACAGAATTTGAGATTTTTATAGGACATCAATGTGGAGATGTGTGTTAGCTAATTAGATGCACAAGAGCAGTGCTCAGGAAAGAGTTCATAAGGCAGCAAACGTTAATTCTGGGTACCACTCTAGACACCATCTAGCTACAGTATTTTAAAACATATAATTTATGTGAAGACTATTTTATTTCTTTGCCTTTTTGGAACCATTTTGTATATTGTGGGAGTGGGAACTGTTGGCAGAATTTTAAGTGTTTAAGAATTTTAAGCTCCAGAGGAGATACTGGGCTTCGAGAGAGACGCTTGACTGCTCAACTGAAATCAGTAGTCTGGGTCGTCGCCCCCCCCATCATTTTTGGCAAGAGAGGGTGTACTTTTTATTGGTCTTTTTATTACTCTTATTTTCTAAGAGAAAGTTCCTTTTGTTAAGACAGTTGCACCATTAGAATTTATGAAATTATACTAATTTTAAATTCATAAGAAATGCTTGTCTAGTGTCTGGGAGTAACCATTTAAACAGCAAAAATATTTTAGTCCATTTCCTTAAGTAAACTGGAAATTACCAAGTGTCTCATGGCCTGAAATAATTCATGGAAGTTGCTAATTTTTAGCCAAAGGTTCAGGGAAGTATATGGTAAAAGCAGAGAATTTGGGGGCCGGCCCGGTAGCGCAAGCGGCGGCCCGGGGTTCACTGGTTCGAATCCCTGGCGTGCACCGATGCACTGCTTGGTAAGCCATGCTGTGGCGGCGTCCCATATAAAGTGGAGGAAGATGGGCGCGGATGTTAGCCCAGGGCCAGTCTTCCTCAGCAAAAAACAAGAGGAGGATTGGCAGATGCTAGCTCAGGGCTGATCTTCCTCACAGGAAAAAAAAAAAAGGGGGAGGAATTCGAAGTTAGAAGACCAAGTTTCTGTTTCATCTGTTTCTCCCACTCACTAGCCCTGAGACTTAGACCACGTTTCTGATGCTCAGTCTAGTCATCTGCCTGTTGACTCGTGAGCTGCCTCATCTGTTGGACAGGTGTTTCCCAGGAGGCCTTGTCCTAGGGCCGGGGCTGCAGCGCTGAGCGCACAGGCAGGGTTCTTCCTCTCATGGAGTTTACAGTCATGTGAATTACAGCAGGGAGGACGGAAGGTGAATACGAGAGCCCCGTATAAACTGTGAAGCACTATGAAAACATTATAGTTAGTCTTACTTCAAATAAGTGTTCTTCTGGAAGGTTCAGGTTCTCTTCTTATTTGAGTGATAAATCGAGAATATGCAAATAAAAGGAAGTGGGAGGTCTGCACACACCTTACACCCTTCACAAAATTTTCTTAAAATGGATCACAGACCTAAATGTAAAACTGTAATAGTCCTAGAAGATAACATAGGAGAAAATCTAGATGATCTATAGCAATGACTTTTTAGATACAATGCTAAAGACACAATGAAAGAAATAATTGATAAGATGGACTTCGTTAAAATTAAAAACTTCTGCTCTGCGAAAGATACTGTCAAGAGAATAAGAAGACAGACCACATACTAGGAGAGAATATTTGCAAAAGACGTAATCTGATAAAGGACTGTTATCCAAAATATACAAAGAACTCTTAAAATTCAACAATAAGTAAACTTAACAACTTGATTAAAAAATGGAGAAAAGACCTGAACAGGTGCCTCCCCAAAGAAGATGTACAAATGGCAAATAAGCGTAGGAAAAGGTGATCAACACCATATGTTAGGGAAATGCAAATTAAAACAGAATACCACTACACACCTATCAGAGTGGCTAAAACATTGAACACTGACAACACCAAATACTGGTGGGGATATGGAGTCATAGGAACTCTTATACATTGCTGGTGGGAATGCCAAATGGTACAGCCACTTTGGAAGACAGTTTGGCTGTTTCTTAAAAAACTAACATACTCTTACCATATGATCCAGCAATCGCACTCCTTAGTATTTACACAAATGAGTTGAAAATTTATGTCCACACACAAATCTGCACCCAAATGTTTATTCATAATCACCAAACACTGGAAGCAACCAAGATGGAGACAGTAAAAAGATAGTAGTTGCCAGCGGTTGGGGGGAAAGGATGAATAGATGGAGCACAAAGGATTTTTGGGGCAGTGAAACTATTCTGTATGATACTGTAATAAATATGTGATATTTATTTATTTATTATTTATTTCACATATTTATGACAAATGATACATGTCATAAATATGTGAAAATCCGTAGAACGTACCAAGAGTGAACTCTAATGTAACGTGGGCTTTGGGTGATGGTGATGTGTCAGTGTGGGTTCATCAGTTATAACAAATGTACCACTCTAATGCGGGGTGTTGATAGTGGTGGAGGCTGTGCGTGTGTGGGGGCAGTGTGTGTATATAAGAACTTTGCTTTCTGCTCACTTTTACTGTGAACCTAAAGCTGTTCTTAGAAATAAAGTCTATTAAAAAAGTGTATCTCTGTCAGAGAAGATGGAATACAGGTATGCCTTGCACACTCAGAATAGGCAGTTATTAAATCTTTGTTGAATGAATAAAAGAGTGGTATTAGGGTTTGGAAATTCAACGTGAGCAGATACTGATTCCTATCTTGCTTGTTAAATTTTCAGAAATGTTATTAATTACATTTTAAGAAAAGTAGGAGTTGTGTCTAGCACTCACAAGAGTATGGAGGTGATCCATACAGAAAAATTTAACTCAAAATTCAAAATATTGGTTTTTAGAGAGTGTGAGAGTCAGCACTATATACCTAGATTTCAAAATAGGAAGTAGAAAAATTTAATGCCGTTGGAAAGTGTTAGGCACAGTATATCTAATGTTTCTTATTGTGAATGAGATAAAATCCTAAATTTAGAAACCAACATGATTATCTTGGGAAGTAAAAGGAAAATTTATGTCCCGAGATTCTATTTATATATAAAGCATGCAAAATGAGAGTAATTTTTTTTCCAAAGAAGTTTAATTTAATGGGAAACAACTTGCATGATAGCTCATGTGGCAATTAAATAAAAATTTTTTACTCTCTGGGGTATTTTAAAATTCTGCAGCTTTGGGTCGATTTCAGATATGTATGAATATCCCTAATAAATTTTCAAAAATTCTAAAGGCCTTTGAGTGTGACACTTTATTTTTGTCGTCGTTTACACCAAATCCCATATGGTGAGATCAGCACTGGTGAGAATGTTGAAGGCTGCTTCAGCAGTTCTTAACAGATGGCTTTCTCCATTCATTTTCTTCCATAGGCAAACATGCCGAAGACATATTTGGTGAGCTGTTTAATGAGGCTAACAACTTCTACATCAGAGCAAATTCTCTTCAAGACAGAATTGATCGCCTTGCTGTCAAAGTTACCCAGCTGGATTCAACAGTGGAAGAGGGTAAGTAATTGCATGAAAACAGTGAGCTAGAAGTGATGTTGACAAGATGGTAGTAATTAATTGCAGGGTAATTACTGCTTTTTCCTTGGGGTGGTATACTGATATTTCTTCTTGTCTTTTCCCAAAAGAATAGTGAGGGGGAAAAACCCCACAACATTGGGTTAATTAGTGATTAAAAGATTCATATCCTGTTTACCTCATATGCCATACTCTCTTGTAAAAAAAATTACGTATAGTATTTGTTTTAAAAGATCCTTCAAATACATTCAGTATTAGAAGTCCTAATTCATGTTATTGGTAGTTATTGTAAAGATATTTGCTTTAAAGAAATCACTCCGAGGACGTGGTCCAACTGAGAGGGAGGGTTATATACATGCAGAGTGAAGGCTTCCCCCAGGACTCTTGTTGGGGTGGATGCCGATAAATAATCTTGGAGATCCTGCTGATTTAACTTCTCAGAAACAGCATTTACTGAAGGTCTTTAGGGCTCAGGGTTTAACAATAAAGTCAATATTGACAAGCACCGTGTGGTTAGCTGGTAAACATTTTGGTGATACCCTCGGAAATTGTGGCAGTTTCAACAAAATTAAAACTCGACAGTTCCTTTCTAAAAATTTCACTTTCTGTATCTTTTGAATGAAAGGCTGAGATTAGACTGGGAAAAAATCTGCAAAAAAAACTGTAAGAAATGCCACTTCATATTTACTTTAAGAAAAATGTTCAGATGAAAAATTATCTCTGCCTTTATATAAGAGTAGTTACAGTTTCTCTTGTTGCATTAAAACAATCCTAGCATCTGATTTTTCTACTAGACCTATAGTAGTAGTATTAGGAAAAAGTGAAGGTTTTACTTTTTAAAAATGTGATTTATGGAATTCATCCCTCATCACTTAAAAAATGTTTACTCATGTTCACATCTTTTTCAAAGGTCAAAGTTAAATTAATGAATTAGAAACTTAACAAAAATGTAGAGCATTGAAATTTTAATATCCATTATGAACATTCTTTAATCAGATTTTTAAAAATTACCTTTTATTTGAAAAAAATAAAAATCTGAATAGCTACTTGGTCTATTCAGATAAGGAATTATTAATGTCTTCAATTGATCACTTCAAATTGATATCACAAATGATTTTTAATATTTATTCATCTTCCTTTACTTTTTTTGGTTGGCACTTGCCATTAGAATGCTTGTGATAAAGCTTATACTGGAAAAAGTTACTCTGTAGATTAAATTTCAGGAAGTTTTGCAGTATCTCTCATATCCCTAAATCCCTTTCCAATCAAGGTTTTACCTTATGACTTTCCTTTGCCTGGATGTTGTAGTAGAAAAAACATTTGACCAAGCGAGGGAATCTGTGTTCTATTTTGGGTCTGTCACTTCCTTGCTGGGTAATCTTGGACAAGTCACTTAGCACCTCTGACTCTCAGCTTCATTGATCAAGTGGGTTAATGGACCAGTTTGCCCCCCTGAGAAGTTTGTGTCCGAGTCAGATGAGTTAATATGTGAGATGTAAAGTGTTGTACAAACACAAGAAATAAGTATAATCAGCCCTGATTTTCTGACTCCTTAGTGTAGTTTTATATCATGCTACTTAATTTCTAGGACTACATGTATGTTGAAAAGCTTTGCCATCTTTTCTTAATGTTAGTGTCAGAAAAACTTAATGTATTATTTACATTTGTGTATTTTTTGCAAAAATATTTCCCACATGTATTATAATTAAACTGGTATTAACTGTTTGAATGTTTTTTCCCCCTAGGATACCCAAGTCTTTGTATTTACATGCCTGTTATACTCAACTATATTCCTGTGTGGTTTCTGAGAAATGCTATTTAAATAAAGAATAATCCTCTAATATTAGGTTCAATGAAATAATTAGATCACTACAAAAGGAGAAAAGACGTGATTTGACTTCATTTCATAGAGATAACTTATTTATAAGAAGGATGGTTTTAAATGAACAATAAAAACATTATTTTGTTATTCTAGGAGATGTTTATGATTGTGATTCAAATTATACTTATTTCTAAGCAGTTAAAAATATTTCCATATAACTCAACTTGGGGGACTTTTCTCTAAATAGTGTCACTACAGGATATCAACATGAAAAAGGCTTTCAAAAGTTCCACAGTCCAAGACCAGCAGGTGGTTTCAAAGAACAGCATTCCTAATCCCGTGGCTGACATTTACAATCAGAGCGATAAGCCGCCTCCTCTGAATATTCTGACTCCATACAGGTATGGCTTCATGTGTTCCCAGGGCCTTCTCAGCACAGAGAAATTGAGAGAAATGGACGGTGCTGTGAAAGTACCTTTTCAAACTTTGAAAATAATAATTGCAGTGTTATACACAATGAAATGAGTTACTGGTACAGAATTGTTAAAGTTTTAGTATTTCAAAATATAGATAAACTTACCAAGAGAAATGTGAGCTGTAATTTTAGCTTTTAAATGTAGATATTTTACACAGCAATGGGCACATTACATAACAATATTGAGTGTGGTTATGTTGTTCCTCATATTCAAAGTCAATTTTAAAGGAACTGAATAATTCACTTATAATGCGGCAAAATACCTGTCTCGGCACTTTACAACTGCAGAGACATTTGTTAGTTAATTCAGAAAAATTTATTCTGCAGCGTTAGGGGTTTTTTAAGAGTGAATATATAGTCAACAAATTAACCTGTTACTGTAAAATGGTAGGACACATTATCAGGATCAAACTTCCCCAAAAAGGAATGGAAAATAAATAGTGCAAAAAATTAACGTTAAGAAACCAACTAAAAACGCTTTTTAAAAACACCTCTCCTACCTCCTACCACAGTTGTGTCTTCTTTCCATAGTTTGTCACCTTCTTTCCTGTCTCCCTTTTCACGTACTTTCTCACTCCCATCATTGCACCCTCCCGTTGAGCTTGTCGAGCTCGCTCCTTCAGCCTCTGGTGAGCATGGCCTGTGGTGGGACGTGGCTCTCACTGCCCGCAGAGTTAGCTCAGTGCGTGGTGCTTCTGCGAAGGCCGTCTAGAAGCAGTGAGTCCTCCGTTTCCACTACCGCCTCCACCGGCGGTAGTGGTCCTTCTCAGGGAGGGCCCCGAGTTTTTCCTGGTCTGAATCCCTGTCCCTTCTCAGGGTCCAAAAGGAATGTTGGCCCTGTTCTTTATGGCAGGTCTGCTGGTACAGCCGCAGTTCAGGCTGCATCCCTTTCAGCACAGACGGAAAGTCTCCCTCAAAAACGTGCAGTAGAGATTCTGTGAAATCTCTGAGGTGAGAGAGACCACATTTCTCTATGAGACAAGTGTACTTTTCTGGAGGTTTTAGCACACTCATTTAAAAGTTAATGATATATGTGAATAGTAGGATTGTAAGCCTAATGTTTTAACTTGTGATTTTGCTTTGGTTCAGTAGGCATTTTTCTGGGGCAATTTCAGTTTTACTTTGCACTGGGAGCTTTGAGGGCTTGCTTATTAAAATTTTTCTAAGAAACCTCACTAAATATTCTGTTGTAAAGGAAAAAAAAACATAAAATGCAATAACCACTTATATTTGATTAATCAAGATCATGATTAAATATTTGTGGTGATTTAAAAATTTTAATTGCATAAAAATGAATCATTTAATTGCATAATTATTTAATATTGCAATGATATTTAATTGCATAATCATTAAATATTGCAAATGATTCAATATAAATTTCATTTATATTGTATGTGTGTATTCAGTTTTATGGAAAATAAAAGTATCTTTGCCTTTTTAATAGTGTGTTTAAGAATAGCAGTGCTGGGGCTGGCCTGGTGGCATAGTGGTTAAGTTCATGCCCTGCTTTGACGGCCTGGGGTTCACAGGTTTAGATCCTGGGCACAGACCTACACACCACTTATCAAGCCATGCTGCAGCAGGTGTACCACATATAAAGAAGAGGAAGGTGGGTATGGATGTTAGCCCAGGGCCAATCTTCCTCAGCAAAAAGAAAAAAAAAAAAAGAATAATAGTGCCAACTGAGATCTGCTTTTTGTTAATACAGTAATATTTTGGGTATATAAAACACATAAACTTTTACATTTGAGCTTAAGTATGACACTGTCACAACACAGTCAATATATGAGAAGTACAGTGTGACTGAAAAATGAAATATTTAGTTGCTATAAACATAGGACATTTCTACTTACATTCTTATGTCAAAGTTAACATTTGTTTACTTACGTGAGTTTCTGCCTTCATTAAAATATTAGTTCCATTTTTTTAAAAAGAGAATGTGCATTTTAACATCTTGAATTTTACAGCAAGTCGCTCTTCAGTTTTTCTGTATCTTCATCTATATTTAAAGCCTAGTGTCTTAGGGAATGTTGTGTTTTTCACAATAATGTTTTTAATAAAATCTCCATGATGCAGGTTGCATATCAATTAGGAAACTTGGAAAAGAAGGAAAGATTTTAAGTAATTAAAGGTTAGAGTATAGAGTGAGTTGCATTGGTTGCTTAGTGATTTTCGGAGAGAGCGACCAGAATAGCCCTCACGGGAACGTGGGCCTTGGTGTGTGTGGGTGAGAAGCTCCCCAGGACGTGGCATGGCAGGACCTTCAAGGCAGGACCTGGGTTCCCCTCCAGAATACTGCAGTTAGCTTTCTGGGACTATTTGGGCATAAACTCTTTCCTATACTCATTTCACTGATTTTTGCTTTCTCTATGTGCCTAAAATGACTTACTGAAATACTAATTTAAAATGTAAATATTCTGCTTCCTCTTGAAGGTAATCTACAGGCCCATACTTTTTAAAGCATTAGTAGAATAGAGTGTTTACTTCATATCATGATTACATTGAGCTTTGCTATTGATTTATGTTACAACTTTGGATTCATATTGGCTGTATTATTATTGGTTTTATGATAAATGAATAACTTATATAAGACTTGAACTCTTCCTTAGATCACAGTAATTGTAGCAGTGCTTGAAATGCCTACAAGTGAATTTTCTTTGTGGGTTAGTACTTTCACTCTAAAAATACATGGTTCATCATTTTTTCTCTAGTCACATTTATACATCATGAACATTCTGCTTCTTTCCTAATTGAATTTATAGATGTTGGGCAAACTTGATTAAGAAAAAAGGACAGAGTACTTACTAATTTTTATCCTAATAATAATGAATCTCCAGGGTAGAAGTGAACGTGTATGTACTAAGAATCCATCCATGTCTGTGTATAGCCCCCTATTGGAATAAACAGAACATTTCCCGAAATAACTGAGGTATTAAATATCGTTGTTATGAGCCATATTGTGATTTTTAGGAGCACTTTTTTGTACTGAAATCTAAATTTGCAAGAGTACTTTTTACCTAATTATTCTAGATAAAGTTGCTGTTCTTGCGTGATTACATGTTTTTTTTCAAATGAGGAAATTTGAGACTCGACTCCTAGCCACCCTGTGTACAGCAGAGTGGAACCCTGCCTGGTCTTTTTGCACCATCCTCTCACCCTCCAGCGCTGTATCAGACAATGCTCTGCTGCTATTCACAGGGTTTTCATGGCCAATTTTTTCAGAAATAAGTGGCCAGGTCCTTCTTCCTAGTCTGTCTTAGTCTGGAAGCTTTGCTGAAACCTGCCCACCATGGGTGACCTTGCTGGTATTTGAAATCCTAGTGGCATAGCTTTCAACATCACAGCAACACACAGCTGCCACAGTATGACAGACGACAGGCAGTGTTGTGGTTCCCTGACTGGGAAACGGACCCAGGCCTTGGAGGTGAGAGCACCAATAGTAACTACTCCACCACAGAGCTGGCTTAATAATGTATAGGGCTGTTAAAATGCATCATGCAGATGTTATAATCTCATGAGTTAAAATTAAATTAATATTAACCATATATGAAAATATCTAACAACCTTTTTTTTTCCTGACTTGTAATACATTGATTTCTAGAGATGATAAAAAGGACGGGTTGAAGTTCTATACTGATCCTTCCTATTTCTTTGACCTCTGGAAAGAAAAAATGCTACAGGACACAGAAGACAAAAGGAAAGAGAAAAGACGTCAAAAGGTAAATAATTCTAGTATGGGAAACATGGGTATAAATGTAAATGGGCTTCTTGTTTAGAAGTAAGTCAGTGAATTCTTTTTTAAATGGTCGAGATGTTGGATTTAGTGCTGAAGTTTTTTCAGAGGCTGAATTTTTTACATGAAGATACTGACAATTCAGTCTAACAGTAATACTATTTTCAATAAATACTATCTGATTTGTTCTCTAACACTTGCTTTGCATTAACAAAAGTAGTGGCTAAAATTTCAGTTTTGTTTGTAATCGTGTCTTAGAACTTTTCTCCTGCTGTTCTTTGAAATTTCGTAAAGCAGTCAACGTTCCGTATCAGGTATAAATATCTGCTTTCATGTTTTTAAAGCGTTCTTAATTGTTGGGTTGCCACCTAGCTGTAATTAACACTGCGGTGAGATCTTCATATTGGATTGAAAATAGTGTGTGATCCGCACGTTTAGGAGATAGTATTTACTGGAAACGAGATTTCTTTTGGTGGAGTGGTGTTGCAGGGAACTTTGCAAGTCTGGAGGTTGAGAAGCATCTGCATCATCAACTCTCTCAGAAGGACAAGCCCTTTCTGCTCAGGTCAGGTTCTTCTGTTTTGGGAATTGTCCCTTTGAGGCCCAGAAATTAGATTTAAACCACTAATAAGAGTTAATTCTCCAAAGGCAGATATTTGCCAAGACTTTTATATATAAGCTTTGTTTTAAAAAATGACCGCCTGGTTAGCTTGACACCCATTAGAGCGCTTCAGTTATGACAAATGCTGCGCGTGTTGTGGGCTGGTGGCCTTCAGCTTTTGAGGCGTTTGGTGTGTTGGCCCTACTGTAGGAGTGACAGTTTGGGATGGAAGAGAATTTTCTATTAGAAAACAGGATTTAAGAAAGGAAACATGGAAACAGTTTGCAGACTACAGTGTAAGATGTTACCACTGAATTCTGGGAAAGAATTCCAATGGCTTAGTTACTCATGCTCTCTCCTTGTGCTCGTGGGTTGGGGAGATTAACTGGGAAGTCTTGGAAGAGTTGCTGAGTATTCAAGTGACGTATTCAAGTGGAGAAGAGAAAGATCCTAATCTCTTGAGTGGAAAAGAAACAGATGTTTAAAGCCTTGCCGGTCTTAATCCCCACCCCTCTTTTTAGTAACAGGGCAAACACCCCACAGTCTTAAGAGTACCTGCCTTTAAAACATGCCTGTCCTTTTAACGGGATCCTAGATTTCCCTTCTCAGTGGTACTTTTGGCAAAAGTATTTATTTTTTTTGCCAGTGTTCTTCAGAGGAAGAGTCATAATCTATATATGATTATTGTATCTTTAAAGTTATTTGTCATTTCCTTGGCTGTTTTGTCTCATTCTGCTATTCCTCAAACACGTAAAATTCTGATAAGAATTTCTTATTCATTCATTTAAATAATGAATCTTTTCGTTTTGAACGCCTTTAAATGCTGGATAAACAGTGGTGAAAAAGAGGATTATCACCCTCATGGAGATTACAGTATAGTGGAAGAAACAAACGAATAATCGTGCAGCCCTCTGGAACTCATAAAGAGGGAAAGAAATTTGAAAATTTTAATACAAATCTGCTTTATATAGGAATAGAAAATGAGGTAAGATATCCTTCATTTCCCAGGATTTCAGAAACCCAAGTCAGTTTTAGTTTGGAACTAACAAGTTTATCTGAAGGAAAAATTAGTTTAGAAAATTTAGGGATAAGAAATCTGCTGTTTCTGAATTTTAAGTTTCCTTAGTTTGGTGTTAAAAACACTAAAAAATATAATTATGCAAATAAATATGTAATTGTAAGTATGTAGTTACAATGCTGTGCGAGTTGTGAAGGAAAGGTATGAGTCGCTGTGGGTGAGATGACGAGGTAGGGTGACAGTGCGGATGAAATGGAGCATAAGGAAGGCCTCTCTGGGGTGTCGTTCACTGAGCTCCAAGGATGGATGGTAAAAGTTGGCTAGACAGAGTAAGTGTGTAGGTGCATGTTGTGAGTGTGTAGGTGAAGGGAGGCTGGAGGAGTGGAGGGCAGATGAGGCGGGGTGCTTCAGAATCGAGGCGCGTTCTAAGCAGCTAAGATCATCCTGGAGTGGGAATAGTGGGGCGTATTCTAGGGATTTTGATGTAGGCCAGTGTGTTGGAGTATAGACGCGGCACTGTTAACATTCTGTCAGAGTTGGTTCACGTGTGTGTGTGTGTGTGTCGTGTGCATGTTGATGGGTGGATTTGGAGGCTGAACAGTGTAAAGAAAATTGCAGCTATCATAACACTTAATCCCTAAATATGTCAGCATACATCCGTTAAAAGTAAGGGTGGTAGTTACTGATTTAATAGAGTGGTTCTTAATCAGGATGTATATTGGAATCACACTGGAATCTCCCTCCTCTTTTTTCTTTTGGTTTTTAAAAGTATACAAATAATACGTCTCGGTTGTAAAATGCTCAGATAACACTGAAGGAAATCAGTTTAGAAAATTTGGGGATAAGTTTCTCCTTCCCTGAGCATAACTAACTGCTGTTACCAGTTTGGTGTGCATATTTTCAGACCTTTTAAGCATTCGTTAATATATGCATACACATTTCACAAAGTGTTTTTATATACATAGAATTGGACTACACATGACTTATGCACACGCGCAGACATACACATGTGTGATACATGTGTGCATATATTGACATCATTACAGATGTACTTCCTTCCTTTTAATAGTTGTGTAGTATTCCAAGGTCTGGAAGCTTCATAAACTATTTACCCATTGCTATATTAATGAATATCTGGGTTGTTTCTAAATTATTGCAGTTACAGTACTGCAGTAAAGAAAATTGTAAAGAACATTGCAGATATCATAGGGCACAGGGCATCCCTGTACTCCTGTGCAGATGTTTCTTGAGGGTAAGTTCCTAGAAGTCAAATGTGGGTTTTAAATTTGAAAGATACCATCATATTGTCCCTGACCCTTAGAAGCTTAAACCAGTTTGTGCTCTCAACAAGCTTCCTCCAGTCCCGGATATTGTGATTGTTATTTTGATGACCCTCCCAAAAAACTAACTTGCATTACACATCTTTTCATATCTTTATTGACCATTTATATATGTCCTGGGAATTTTATGTTCATATCCTTTGCCAGTACATTACCTATGCCTCCTGAATATCTCGAAAACAGTCAGGTTCTCTGTCTGCACTACCAGCCATGAGCCAGCTGCCCTCTGTTCAACGGGACCACCTGAGTAGTTTCTAACTGGTGTCCCTACCTTTCCCCTTTAATCTGTTCTCCACAGGCATCTTTACAAATGCCTCCTTAGTAGGTCATCCTTTCCCTCTTCATACTTCAGTGGTTTCCCATTGCTCTTGGGATATAGAACAACGTTTTTTTTGTTTTTTGTTTTTTGTGAGGAGGACTAGCCCTGAACTAACATCCGATGCCAATCCTCCTCTTTTTTGCTGAGGAAGATTGGCTCTGGGCTAGCATCCATGCCCATCTTCCTCCACTTTATATGGGACGCTGCCACAGCATGGCTTGACAAGCGATGTGTTGGTGCGTGCCCGGGATCCGAATCTGCGAACCCTGGGCTGCTGAAACGTAGCCTGTGCACTTAACCACTATGCCACTGGGCTGGCCCCGAGAACAACATTTTTAACATAGCTTTCAAGGTCTTGCCTGCCTTTCAGATCTTGGGACCCATTCACCCTAATTCACCATTACCTCCTTTCATTTCTGCTAATGTGGTGCTCCCCCCACTCTTCAGAGTGTTGCACATTCTGTCCCCTCTTGGCGTGCATCTGATCTGTACTCCTTTGCAGAAGTAATGCCTACTCTCACTACAGATCTTGTCCCTCAGTCACTCCAGGACACCCTCCCTGACTTCCAGACTAGATGGCATTCTGTATATAAGGAATTTACCTTTTACCACATTTTATAATTATACGTTTATTTACGTGATTTTGTAGGCTTCCCCCACAGGATGGCAAGCTCCATGAGGGCCAATACCTGTCCTTTTCTTGTTTGCCGTTTGTGTCATCAGTGCCTGGCACGATGCCTGGGACATAGTAACACCATAAGCTTGCCTGGACTCGAGCATTGAGTTAGCATTTACTGAGTGTGTACTCTATGTGAAACCATGTGTGGAGGTCCGGGAAGAGGAACGTAGGACTTAAAGTCACCTAGTTCTCCTCCATAAAGATCAGCAGATCTTATCAGGGGAGCAGGAAAAACTTGTAAACACACATAGTAATAACAGTCCTCACTCTTAAAGAAGCACCTGTGTAGCACCCAAGTATGTATGGAATACATTTTTGCTGGCAAAGTAGGGCTGGAGCAAGAATGATTCTTTGTATGGGAAGGTAAGTTTTGTCTTGTTTTTGTTTTATGTTAAGCTAGTTACAGGATTAGCTTAAATATTCTATAATAATCATAGAAACTGGAAATAGAACACTGAATTAGTTTTTGAAAGATGATTGCATGTTAACAAGTCAGTCAAAATTGTGTAGTGGTGGGAAATGATTTCTCTGTGTGGTGGTGTCAGATATGTTATCTGTGTAATACTGATCTAAAAGGTACAGTACGTTTCAAACAAGCTGAAAGCCTAGGAAGGTGAGAATTCTTTACCAGAAATGGTGATAAGCAATTCTTGCAGTTGCAGCACAGTAACTTCTATTTATTTAGGTTAAATAGTTAAGTATAGTTATTTTTGTTGGGTCTTTGTTAGAATTTTCTTAACATTAGAGTGAATGGAATGGGGATGTCTCTTGTGTGCACATCAGGCTTGTTACCTGTGCATTGTAACTGTATTAACCTGCTCTTTTCCTTCCCCTTCTGTCTCGGCATGCTTGCTTTCTTTTCCTGGACATCAGGAGCAAAAGCGTATAGATGGCACAACCCGTGAGGTGAAAAAGGTTAGAAAAGCCAGAAACAGGCGCCAGGAGTGGAATATGATGGCATATGACAAAGAGCTTAGACCCGACAACAGGTTGTCTCAGAGTGTGTACCACGGAGCATCTTCCGAAGGATCCCTGTCCCCAGACACTAGGTGTGTGTGTGTTGTAGCAGAGCCTCTGAGTAGTCCTTGGTTTTATTATAACTTGGAAATGCACCAGTAGCTTTGGTGTTTATATGGCCCACAATATGTTTCAGAACTTTCTTTAAAAATTAATTATATATATTTTTAAATTTTGAAATAATACTTTAAAACAGTTTTATTTTACATTGGGTTACTTTGTATGATTTTCTATCTCTCTGACTTAACTTTATTGTTAAGTTAATCTAGATGTAGTGTTTTAACATCAATTCTGAATTTGGGCTTAGTAACTGCCAGCGACTTACATTTTAATTTTAATAACCATTTAATTCTTTCTTTTCCTCTTTAGCTTAGAATGTTGAATTTCCTTTACCACTTGGTATCTAAAAGTGATTGATAGGTGGTAATTGATGTAATTAAGGAATAACTTCATTGTGCTTTTTGGTAATCTTTTCAAAAAGTGTGATGAACAAAAGAGATATTTATTTCTTCAGTTCACTAATCTTATGTATTCTAATTCCAGGAGAAGAATTCCATTGGAGTTTACTTTAAAAATTTGTTAGCAATTAAGTAAAAATATTTCTTGCAGGTGTGAATGATGTGGTCACTGAGTCACATTTGTCACAAAAGGGAATCATTGAAGGAGAGGAAGTGACTAGTCAATTTTAACTGGTCACTGAGTCACATTTGTCACAAAAGGGAATCATTGAAGGAGAGAAAGTGACTAGTCAATTTTAACTTAGGGTTTAATTTCCTATTTCTGCTTTTGTAAAGTTGTAGTCTTCTATTTGCGTGAATTCTCAAAGTCTTCCATCAGCATGTAAAAATTTGACTAGAGAATTTGTACACGATTCAAGGATGTTTCAAAACAGTCACAACCTGGACCTTGTGTTATATCTGTGTCTTTTTTAGAAAAATGTTTATAACCTCAGTGCTTAGAACAGACTCTATACAGAAGATGCTTAATATTTGGAGTTACACTGCCCGTAAATATTCCTACCCTAGAAGGGTTGTAAGTCATTGGTTGGATATGAGGCAGGTTCGAGGTAATTTTTCTGTACGAGCTGTTATCTGTTAAGTATTAGAAAGTTACTTGAGATTTAACTGTGCTCCGGCCTCAAGTTTGAATCTTTTAGTCAGCTTATTTCTGTAGAAAATAGGATGATGATACAATTCTGCTCATAGTTCTCTGCATGGGCTGGAGTACCTGAACTTGCTAGCCCCCGGGATGTCAATTTGCTTTACGTTTTCTTCCAACTAATTTACTTGTGATTGTTTACTTATGCAAAACGTATACTGTGTTTTATAATACTATATATACATACTCTTTTATTTCAGTAGGTACAGGTGGAAAAATGATTTTTTTAAATCCTCAGTTGAATGATTGATATTATTCTAGCATCTGAGATTAGATTGTTCCATGTGGGGTATAAAATTGATGGTAGTTCAGATTATTTAGTATTCTGCCTTTGTATTTATGTTATTTAGATATATCTTCATTTCTCTTATTTTTCAAAAAGCAAATGGAATTATAAGTTTTTTTTCTTCAGAATTTCCTTTTGTCTCGTACTATTTCCCATGACCTTTCACTATATGCAAGCACCAGGTAAATAGATTATAATTCATCACTGAACTTGGACTGTATCCCTTAAATTAATTAAGAAATTTTTATTTTTTATTTTACTAAAGTATATCACTTTTTTGTTATTATAAAATAAGATTAAATTTTTATATTTGGAAATTACAGAAAAAATTAAAATATTATCCATAATCCTATTATTCAAAGAAACCACTGTTTGCATTTTAGTGTATTTCTTTCTTTAGTCTTTTTTCTGTACATGTATATGTTCTTTTACAAAATTGAAATCATCTCTCTCTTTTCTATCTTTCAGCTTTTTTATTTCCTATATTCATGTTTTAAGTATTATTTAAAAACATGGTTTTTAATGTATGTATCCAGGATGACTGAGGGAAATTTGAATGTCAAGTTTCATGGCATGTATATAAGCTGTTCATATTATATAAGTAATAGATTTTAACCCAGTCCACATAGACTAATAATAAATTTTTGCTCTCTCTATAGGTTGTCAGGAGTGTTGATTCTAAGTGTGAATTTAGGATGAGAATTGATAAAATGCTTGCCTACTGCTCTTTCACTGTTATTCAGGAAGAGAGATACCTCAATACCGGACTGTCCAGTGTTTTTTCTTATCCTGTTCTAGCCCTTTGTTACAGCCCCCCGACTCTGCCCACCTGTCTCCCCACAAAACCCTGGGGGGTTCGTTTCCTTCTCCCCGAGTCTCCTGTGCTATCTGCTGTGCTTACTTCTGGTTTCCATATCGTCTTCACTCCTACCAGTTGTTTTCTGTGATAGATAATCACTGATGTTCATGAAGCCTCAGGACCACCCCACGCATCTCCACATCGGCACAATGTCTTCTGTGGCTGATTTCTACCTTCCTGCGGGGGGTCTTTGTCTCCCAGCAGTCACCCTACTCCTCCTCTCTCTTCCAGCCCACTGGTGTCCCCCTTTTATATGGGTGTTCACTCCTCCCCAGACAGTCCCCTCTCCTGCCCACCCTTCATCAGAGTCCTGCCCTCTAGAACTCTACTGCTATGCTTCTTCACTTCACATGTTCACTGCTTGCTCTTCACTCTCTCCATCTGGTTCTCCCCTTTTATTGGCTCCTTTTGGCCCTGTATCACAAAGCTGCTTTATAAGGATAGCACTCTAAATTATGCCAGAATATTTACAATTTTGGGCCCCTCATCTCATCAGAAGCACTGCATATTTTGCTAGATAACTTTCCTTTAGAAAGTTGTGCACAGTCTATGACAGTCACACATACAGAGTCAAGCACACATCATCAATGACTTCAGGGTTTTAGGTATTTACATTTTTACAATATGCTAAATCCAAATACAGTCAGCTTCTTCCCCCATTAAACATATTTTTAACTCGCTAGCAGTTTGCGTAGTTCAAAAGACATAGTCGTAAGCTCACCGTAATGTAGAATTTATGCTGCAATTAGAGAAGGAAAAGAAGAAAGCAGTCTCTCCTCATTTAGAATCTTTTCTGGGCTGTGTGATGCTCTGGTTAGGGGAGGCTACTGTCCGAAACCACAGGTGGAAATTCAGTGGTGTCCTCCCTGCTCCCTCCATGTCCCCAATATGTGTTTGCCTGTTTCCTTCAGAGAGAGAAACACAAGCTGAATCCTAACAGAAACCTGCAAATAAATGTGAGAAAAGTAAGAACAAGAAGAGAAGAGTGGGAGAGAAGGAAAATGGGCATTGAGTTTATGAGTGACGCAAAGAAACTGGAGCAGGCAGGGAGCACGAAAGACGACAGAGTGGCCAGAGGGTTTGTTGTTTTGCTTTCTTGGGTTCCCAGCGCCGGTCCTCGCCCTGCTTTGGCCATCATGGGAGGACGTGCAGCCCCATACTGACAACGTGTCCCGTAACCAAGGCCAGGAGCTCGGCTACCCGTTACTAACGCCCATGGCGCTGTGCAGCTGCAACATCCACTGGTCCCTGCGCTACCTTGTGGGGCCCAGCTGGCATCCTGGCACCCCCGGCATCTCGCTCAGCTCTGCTCACTAATACAAGGTCTCCATTCCTTTCAGAATGCTCAACTGCGCATCCAAGGAAAACAAGAAGCCCTTTCCATATTGCACCACATTCTTTCTTTTTTGGTTAAATACATTTCTTCCATTGAAGAAAAATGCAATTCACTGTATTGTAGTCTTGATTTCTTTTTCTTTTCTTGCTGTTAATATTTATCCAGTTCACTTGCCATTTTATAATTTCTAATTAGATACTGTCAGTTTCATTGCCACTGAAATCCTCTGTCTTAGATGCTGTTTTTAAATTAAATGGAATTTGTCTTGTAGCCTTCTCTCTTAGAAAAAAGTATACTGAAATATTCTTAAAATGGGGCTCTGCTGTTTCCTGCCTGCCTATCTCTCTGACTTGTTCACGTCAAAGCTGTGAATCTGAATCCATGTAACGCTGGGGCTTGGCGCTAAAGTCGTAATTATGTTGTTGCTTGGAAGCTCTCATGGGGCTAGACCTAGCCGATAGTAAAAGAAATAAATGTGTGATTTCTGTGCATTGGCAGTGTTGTTATTCAAATATGCGCTTATGCCTGTTAGGGGAAATCTTTTTAACTTAATTGAAATTTCTCCCACCCCTTTTTCTTGAACGTCAGGTCCCATGCATCGGATATTACAGATTACTCTTATCCGGCTACTCCCAACCATTCTCTGCACCCGCAGCCCGTGACCCCTTCTTACGCAGCCGGGGAGGCGCCTCCGCACGGGCCAGCAAGCCAGGCCCCCGAGCATGAGTACCGACTGCCATCTGCCTCGGCGAGGCACATGGCTCTGAACAGACCTCAGCAGCCGCCCCCGCCACCCCCGCCACAGGCCGCAGAGGGGTCGCAGGCCTCCGCACCCATGGCTCCAGCAGACTACGGGTAATTCATGACGCCTTGTGTTCTGATCACTACTTGGAGTTTTGCTGTGTGTGGTGTAAGAATTTTAATTGAATAATCATACTTTAGAGGCCAGAATTCAGCCGGGAATGACTGGATATAGATACTATCAGTTATGACAAACTCTATGTTAAAAAATATAGTGTCAGTACTCGCCTTTTTTATTACAGATAAGTCTCAGGTTTGTGTCTGTATTCATGTACACCTTCCCTTTTTACACATATTTGTGTATATTTGAATGGATCCTAAGTCAGGGCATTAATAAAGGATGAAATGCCAGTTTTGTGAACCTGTCCCACATCCTCAGGTTTCTCTACATATCCTGGGTGAACCACAGAGAATTCGTATCAAATGAGAAAACTAAAACACAGCATCCCGTGCATCACTTATTATGCTTGGCCAGATAATCTCCTTTCCTGGTCTCTTGGTGCCCAGAGGTCATTCTGCCACCAGGCCATCTTGTTTTCTGTTGTTTGGGTAGAATTCAAACAACTAAAAAAGACCTTCATGTTTGAATGTTTATTAATTTAAGCACCCACCTGTATTTTGATAGGCTGTCCTTAGCTCTCTCATTGTTGGCTTTAACCCTAATCTTTAAAGAGTTAGTCCCCTCAAAGTCAGTGCCCAGGAAGGTTGAATATGTGTTTCCATTAACATGTGTATTCTTTAATCCAGAGTGTCATGTTTCACTTTCTAAATGTACGTCCCTCAGCTTTCAGTGGTGTTCTCCCTGACCACAGAGTCCTGGCTATTAAGTCAGAATTCCCAAGAGGGTTCTGAGGCTGTGACTAAGTGTCAGGCAAAGGCAGTCAGGATCTGTGGTCCAGTTGGTTTGGAGAACCTTTGGCTAAATAGAATACAGCAGATTTCTTGGCTGTAGGACTTTTTAAAACATTTTGTATTGTAATTGGCATTGTGGGGTAGGGGAATTTCCATGGGATGGAATATAAAATACAGAAATCTCCAAATCTGATTGACCACAGAGCTCTTGTAAGACAAGTTTGTGAGTCACCCACTTCTGAGATGCCTGGTATAAAGGGTGCGTTTGTGTTGCTTTTCTTAAACTCTGCCCTCAACTATTTTATTCCAGCATTCCGCAGAAAATGACTTTTTGAGTGGTTATCTTTTTGGCACATTCCGGTAGATGATCTTGAATTCCATCATAGAGAGTAAACTAGACCTGTGAAGATAACTGACGCAGTGTGGAGCTTTGCATCCTGCAATGGTTTAAATTCAAATGACAATATGTATTGTGTTTGGGGGAGGCCTTGCTATTAGGCATATGAGCACCTCAGAGGATGTGACCTCTGTTGCTACTTTAATGACTCTACGTGTTTCATCTCCTTTTTAGGATGCTCCCAGCACAGATAATTGAATATTACAACCCCTCAGGGCCGCCTCCTCCACCACCTCCTCCTATGATTCCTTCAGCACAAACTGCTTTCGTCAGTCCTCTCCAGATTCCCATGCAGCCCTCCTTCCCGGCATCTGTGGGCTCCTCCTACACGGCTCCTCCTCACCCTCCCTCCTCTGGGCTCCTAGTCACAGCCCCGCCTCCTCCGGGCCCCCCACCTCCCCCACCAGGCCCGCCTGGCGCAGGCTCTTCTCTCTCTTCCTCCCCCATGCATGGCCCCCCAGTAGCTGAGGCAAAGCGACAAGAAACTGCACAACCACCAATAAGTGATGCTCGAAGTGATCTTCTTGCTGCTATCCGAATGGGTAAGTGGAGCACCCCAAATACACTGTCTTCCTCTTAGAGAGATGTTTTTGTGTCTCCAACCAGCTGCATCCTAGTCTTCTTCAAATAACTACTCTCTATGCTAAATTATGTTTTAGAATAAAGTTAAAGGAGCCTTGTTTGATTTTTTTTTTTTAAATAATAGACATGTTTTTGCCAGTGCAAGGTGAATATATAATGATAAAGAATTGAGAATTCAAGAAAGCTTTACTTGACTAGAAATGGATAATAAAAATGATCATTAATTAATTGGATCTTTTCTCTGCATTCTACTCTAAGGGTAAAAGTATAAATGAAAGAAAATGAGCTCATATCAATGATCTAGTTTTTCAAAAAAATCTAGGATATGTCCTAGACTTTGCATATTTTTAGCTGATGTGCTAAGCCAGTAGTTTTTCAACATTTATTTAACAACACATCTCTTTTGTCAGATGAAAGTCCTGCACTGAACCCCAGAACATGAAACACACAGAAGTAGAGCATCTCTGGTCAAATCAGGGTGGGGGAGCCCAGCCCTCACCCACCTGGGCCTCCCCTCAGCCCCACATGAAACGTGTCTTCCACACCATCTATTCTTTGCCCCACAGCATAGTTCATGGTGGCTGAGGGGCACCATCAGGATGTGGAAATATTCCAGGAGCTCCTCATGTGGTGGGGGGCTGCACGTCTCGTGGTCACAGTTGTTTCTGCCTGGAGATGACTGAGGAGGGAGCCTGGCTGAGCAGCAGTGACGTCCTTCACAGGGCAGCCAGGACGGGACTGCCTCTGCCTTCGCTCGAGCACCCTGAGTGTGGGTGCCTGAGTGTGGCGCACACGCCCTCCCACAGATCCCAGGGCTCTCCATGTATCTTGAACGTCATTGACACACTTTGATTTTGATTAGATAAAAAGTCCCAGAGTTATATTACCCGATCAATAAGGAATTTAGGGTCATAGTAGCACAGTATTTTTGCTTTTTCACGCCTGTAAGCCCTGTCCAATAAGAACGATACATAACCTGGATCTAATCATGAAAAAACCGCTGACAAACCCAAATCCAGGGGCATTCTACAGAAGAGCTGCCTGTGTTCTTCAAAAATGTGAAGATCGTAAAACACAAGGACTGAAGAAATGCCCAGATTAAAGGACGTTAATGAAAAGTGACAGCTAATGTAATGGGCGATCCTGCATTGGATCCCGAACCTGGTGGAAGACTTTTTTCATTTGCTATATTAGGTCTATTGGCAAAATTTAAATAAAATTTGTAGAATAGATGGTATTATTGAATCTATGCTAATAGATTGTATCTATGCTAATAGTCTGATCTTGATCATTGTTTTTTTTAGGAATTACACATGAAGTATTTTAGGGGCAAAGGGACGTTATATGCCACTTATTCTCAAATGGCCAAGAAAAAAGTATGTGTGTGTGTATAAATGAGAATGATAGAGAAAGATTGCCAAAACAAATGTGGTCACGTGTTGCCAGTTGGGGAATCTGGGTGTAGGGTATATGGGAATGTTTTTCTGCTAGTCTTACAGCTATTCTATAAATCTGAAATTATTTCAAAAGAAAAAGTTAATTAATACATTAAATCATAGATATCCCTTTGTTACTTATTAAGCAAGAGAGTAGACAATTATATTTTATATTCATTTAAACAATAATTGTTGAAACAGAGGTTTCTCAGTTACCTCCCCAGGTTAGTCAAGAGCTATAGGTGTAGAACACTGCTTTCCAAGCCTTTGGATTACAGCGCTGTCCAGGAAAATGTTCTGTAATGGTAGAAATGTTCTGTGTTTGCACAGTCTAGTATGGTAGCCACTAGCCACAATAAACTTACCTTTAAATAGCCATACGTGGAGGCTAGCCTGGTGGCGCAGTGGTTAAGTGCATGCGCTCAGCTGTGGCGGCCCCGGGTTCGCAGGATCCCGGGCGTGCACCGATGCACCGCTTGTCAAGCCATGCTGTGGTGGCGTCCCACATATAAAGTAGAGGCAGATGGGCATGGATGTTAGCCCAGGGCCAATCTTCCTCAGCAAAAAGAGGAAGATTGGTATCAGATGTTAGCGCAGGGCTAATCTTCCTCACCAAAAAACAACAACAAAAAGCCACATGTGGCTAGTGGCTACCATATTGGATAGTGCAGCTCTAGAATTTTCTTTAATGGTGTTCATGTGTGTTGAAATTATACTTTTTTACATTTCAACACATTACTTTGCTATAAAAAAGTTATGACTTTGAGTGTACAGTCTTTTTTTTTTTTTGGTCATGAAACTTCTATTTCCCAAGCTTTTTTCCCCTCAAATTTCCAAAACTTTTTATCCTTAGTGTTGGTAGGGGGAAAAAGGTCAAATAGACTTACAAGTTTGTTTTTCTTTTATTTGGAGCAAGCAAAGGGGTTTAGTTCTCAACAGTGTGTTGTGTCTTTAGGAATTCAGCTGAAGAAGGTGCAGGAGCAACGTGAGCAGGAGGCCAAGCGTGAGCCGGTTGGCAATGACGTGGCCACGATCCTGTCCAGGCGCATTGCCGTGGAGTACAGTGATTCTGACGACGACTCGGAGTTTGATGAGAACGACTGGTCCGACTGAGGCAGTGCGCAGGTGAACGGCTCGGTGACAAGGCTGGTGGCCAACAAGGAGACCACGTGTTGGAAGTGTATTGAAAATTTTAAGTGGTCTCAACACCCACTTAGTGATATTATAATCCTGTAGCTTAGCAACTTTTGTATTAATAATGTGATATTGCTTTTGCACATCCAAAAATTCTGGGTTTTTTCAGTATTTACTGTGTAATACTTAAGTGCCACTAAACATAGCAACTCATACTGCACATGAGGAAATATGCTGTAACTACTGCATTGTCCTGAAAACAGCGCTCTGCTTCCTTTTTCTTGGCCATGACAGTATTTAGTGCAGTTTGGGTTTACTGTTACTGATCATTATAATTCTGCAGACTTGCTGTGTGTTTGTGAAGCTGCCTGGTGTTAGGTCTCCGCAAGGTTAATGACTGTGTTCAAGTGATGTCTTCCAATCAGTAAGTGATATTATTTCAACTTTTTTTTAAATGTGTTTCAGAAGAGGTTGGTTCTAGAGGGAAAGGTTTAACGAGTAGGGAGAATCAAATGTTTCTGCTTTCAGTTTCTTGGCTTGGTAGCCTCTGTGTGAATTTGAAAGTTCTGTTGAATAATTTCATTTTCTTCGCACGCTCTTGTAAAATGTGAAATTGGAAGGGCCCTTTTCAGGCAGGATGCCCTGTGGGCGTTCACGTAGTCCATGCTTGTTGATGATGTTTGTAAGAGGTTTCAGCAGCTCAATTGTAATAAAAATGAAGAACAGGGTTCTTTTTCCTTCAGAGGCCACTGGGGATGACACTCAAACATTTGACAGCCCTTCAGCGTGGGCACCAGCCACCACAGACGCAAGTGGTCAGGGCTGCAGAGCCGCATTGGGCAGAGCTGCTGAGTGTCAGCCCTGGGTGCGCAGGAGACCTGCCCGTTTTATACTGCGGGAGCCCTGTCCCGAGCGAGGCCAGCTGGAGTCCTTAGTGCCTCAGCGTGCTACACAGAGTGCTTCACAGGGTACCTCTTCACCGGGTACCTCGCTCCACTTGGAATTTTAAAAGCTTAGACTTAGGTGAAAGTAGAATTGACAGCTGTTCGCATTTCCTGGTGCTGTGGCCAGATTAGGGGTCAGTCACACCAGTAGGGCCTTAGCTGTCACCAAGAAGCACACGTTCTCTTCTTGTGTTATTGGCACATTGAATTTTAAGAAGTACCTCAGATTAGATTAGACTTGTAGCCGTAGCGTCTCACTTCTCTTCTACCTTTGCCCTTCTTGTCATTTCTCCTCCCAGGAATATGAGAGTCTCAGAGGCTTTCTTTTCCTGGTGAATGCAAACCGTCAGGAAACCCGTGAACGAGAGCTTATATTTTGTAATTCCAGATGAAGGATAACTGCTTGTTTAGAGTAAATAAATGCCCTAGGCTTTGATTATAGCTGTGATTTCACAAATACACTAAGACACTTTACTAACTAAGGAATTCCTACCTACCTACAGCATTGCAAACGGATTGCAGTTATTAGTTGTGACAAAGGAATCTTTAGCTAGCGACGGTTCTTTGGGTTGATGGAGGGATGTGAACAGGACGGTGACTCGTGGGTTTTTGTCAGTGAGTTCCCCTGAGGGAATCAGCCCGCCCCCCAGATCTCGTCTGTGCATCCCCGAGTGGACACGTGGTGGGTTTGTGGGTGGTCATCGTGTCAAGCCTGTACGCTGGGTTTTAGTCACATAGATTTTGAAACTCTGAGAAGCCTGATATCTGTGTCCCCTTTCCAAGACCATGCTTATACCAGGTTAACAGTCTCCTCTGCTGGATGAGCAGTTTGGGCGCAGCCTCTGGAGTTTCTCTTCTTGGAGCTAGTCACCATTTGGCTGTCACCATAATTTTATTGAATATAAGTAATAGTTATTAATGAACTTTTAAATTTCTCTCTTTAATTTCTCTCCTCTTTTTCCCCTCCATGTAGAGGCCTACTCTGTTGGCGTTATTCTTGGGACTTTTACCATTTTAGTCTTACTTTATTACAATATTTTGTCTTTATTGTTATTTTGAATTAGGAGTTCCCTGTATAATTCTAGAACTTGTTTTCGGTAATGCTTCTTTGTTTTTATGTCCCGTCTCTTCTCAGGATGGAGAGAACACATAAAGCTACTATCCATGTCCGAATTTCTTCTATGTATATCTATTACAGTAAAATGAGTGGCACTTTATTCATAAATATTCATAAGCCCATTAATTATTAGTTGTCTTCCTAAAGCTTAATCAACAAGTTATTTTCAGCTTGATTTTCTGACTAGTGAAAAAGCTTTTGCCCTGATATGTTATATAGCCGTTAAAAGAATGGAAAAGGACTAAAATCCAGTTTAGATTATTTTTGCAGTATTTTTCTCAGCAAGTTTGGTTTATTCTAAAATTTAAATCCAAACTTTTTCTAATATGGTATTACGTGAAAAGGAAAAAGTGAAGATTTTGAATTTTCAGTTTTCATTTTCAAAAAGTATTTACCAAAACAAATGGAGAAAAACTTTTAAAATGTATTTCATATCTATGAATTTTACATTTTAAAGTAGTTATATATTGTAAGCTTATTTTAAATTGTCCCCAGTGTTTTCCCCCTGTGTATTTGAGTTTAATTTCTTATCAGCTTTTTTCTCATATTGTAGATGTAGGCAGAGCGGGTGAGAAGATCGCTCAGCACCACACACTAGCTGCACAACATGCTGTGTGTTGCTTTAGTTGGGGCACAACCACAGATGTGGTTGAGCAAAAGGCACATGATTTCCTGTTGTTAGCCCCAAACCATAAGTTTTGGTGCACTTATGTTTCTGTTTAGTAAGTATACTGTTAGAGAGTTAACACTTTCATTTCAGTAAATTTTTAGAATCTCAATATCTTTTCTGAGCACCAAGTGGCTAGGTTGTAAACATTTTGTAATAATTTGCAACTGAAATACATGATACATGATACATTTTAATCCATTCAAGACTAGTGGGAATGTATCAGCCAGAGTAGCAAGTAATTTTTGTTTTATAAATCAGAGTATCTGTCATCTTGGAGTATTACCAATGCTGTTGTAAATTGAATTTAAAGTGGTATTAAAAAAAAAAAAACTCCTGTTAAGCAATTTTTATCTGTTTGTATATCTTAGTATAGATTATGTACAAGTAACATCTAAATAAAATTACACTTTTAACCCTAAAAGGTTTTGCTTATTTATAACAGTATTGTATGTTAATTTAACCTTTTTTGGAGGAGAGAAGTTGGGATTTGGGTGGGTGGGGTTTTTAATTAAATTTAATTTCATTATTAGATAACAAAAGATACCACTGTGATTTCCACTTAAATTTCTACATAATCTTTGTGTAACCAAGAGTTCAGATTAGATTCTGTGAGTGACTCAGGGAAACACTAGTATAGTTAGAAAGAAAAAGCCATTCCAGGAGCAGGAAGCAACATGTTCAGTAGAGGTATTTTAACTACATCTAGTCTTGATAATAATAGTGACTAATTACTCTGTAGCATTCATTGCTTATAGGATGCTTTCATTTAATCCTTAAAATGATTATTATTTAAGGATATTAATGCTCCATTGAAAGGAGCATTGTCTCTCTTACGTATATGAGGGAACTCGAGTGAAATCAGGTTGCTTGCTCAAGGGCCTGGTAGATAAAAAACTCAATCACAGGGCAGAATTGCACGTGGGGAGTAATGGGAGTTGGGATTAGGGAGGTGAGTGGGGCCACACTGGGGACATGGGCCTGGAGCCGAGGCTTCTCTACGGCTGCCTTTGAGCTGCCTGTGCACGTGGTGTCTCCTCTCCTGGAGCCTGCATCACCCAGTGTCAGATGGGTTCTTTGTGTGGTCTCCCCACTAGACTGTGTGTTCGGTATATACCGCGTTTGTATCCTGAGAGCCTCAGTACAGTGTCCAGTCTCCTGGACAATGAGTGCTGCTTGTTGAATGATTAGGTGAATGATGGATTTGTGAGTTAACGTTTTTACCAAAAAGTTAATTGTGCGCAACTTAAAAATATGAAGTATTTTACCAGGAACCATGTATTTCCTCCTTATTAGTACTCGTCACTTGACACGTAGCTCCCACTTTATTTGGTGTATCCCCAGTAGACTGAGGCCAGTGAGGCAGACATGGGGCCTCCTGTGAACTGAGACAGCCTCTTTATCAAGCTTGGCGCTTGGCGCTGAGTAGGTGTCTATAAATAGAGTGATTGTCGTTTATAAAGCAGAGGGGAGGCTCTTCACCAGCGTGTATTTGAAGGCCTGAGAAGAGCGTAAATGCAGTCATACATGGAAAGCGCTTAGAATAGTGCCTGACAGTTGCAGACACTCGGTGAGCGTGAGCCATTACTGCTGTCTGCAAGTCACTTGCTGGAGATGAGGGAACAAGCTAGGCTCTGCCCTCATGGAGCTTCTCATCTGAAGAGAAGGAGAGACATTAAATATTGTCAAATGAGTAACTTAGATCATGCTGTGTGTTGCTTTAGTTGGGGCTGGGGTGGGTGGTGTCCAGTCTGATCTGTGGGCCGAGGGAAGCGGAGGCCTAGGAATGAACAGAAGTTAGCTGGGGCCCAGGGGAAGGGAAGGGAGTTTCTCAATAGCAGGAACAGCATTTGCATTCCCTGAGGTGGGAAGGACACTGTGGGGTGATAACGGGACCAAAGTATTAGTGAAATGGAAGGAGTGAGAGGAAGAGAAAGTGTCATGAGGTGGGACACAAAGGTGGTGAGAACCTCCCTGTGCCCAGTACTCAGGGTTGAGGGAGCTTTTTGCGAACACCTCCACAGCTGCGGCTATGAATGTATAGCAAATCTCTCCATGTTTGCAGCCCATTGGTTATTCATTGATCTTGACAGCCTCATGCCTTAGGCAGTACTAATATTGTATATTAGAAGGCATCTTACATCTATTTTGCTTATATATTTGTTTTTTTATATTCTATTCAGAAGGCATCTTAGTGCTTAGCTAGTCCAGCTCCCTAACATAAAGATGCGGAAACTGGCCATTGCTTGCATTGCTTGGGTCTCAAAGCTTGGTCTTTTAACTTCATTTTTCAAACCATGGTCCACCTCTTCCACAGTAGACCTTCAAGAGTTAGGTAAATACCCCCAACTCCCAGCATTTTATTATGAAAAAATGGAAACCTACAAGAAAATTGTTCACTAAATGCCCATACACGCATATCTATCCACCTGTCCGTCCATCAATCCACCTTATTTATGTATTTCAAAGTAAGTTGCAGTATACTTCACCCCAGAACACATCAGTATGCATATCATAAATTATAGTTTAATATTTGTATGTAATATTTTAAGGTAAAAGATAAGTTAAATGCACACGTCTTAAGTATACCATTCAATGAGTTTTAACAGTGTATACACTCAAGTAACACAAATCCCATCAAGACAGACAATATTACTGTGACCTCAGAACTTTCCCTCATTCCCTTTCAGAGTCAGTTCTCTCCTGTCCCAGTCCCTGGAGCAATCACTGTTCTGATTTTTCTTTTTACCATAGATTAATTTAGCCTTTTCTAGAACTTCATATATATAGAATAAAACATCATGTACCCTTTTGCCTCTGGCTTCTTTCAGCATAATGTTTTTGAAATTCATTCATGTCATTGAATTTGTCAGTCATTTATTCCTTTTTATCACTGAGTAGTGGTCCATTGTATGAATATACCACAGTGGGTTTATCCATTCTCTTGGATAAGACTTATACAGGTCTTTTCTGGACATATGCTTTTATCTATCTTGGATAAATACCTAGGAGTGAAATTGCTCTGGTAATAGGTGGGTGTATGTTTAGTTTTCTAAGAAACTGCCAGGCTTTTGAGAAGTGGCTGTACTATTTTATACTCACCAGCAACGTTGCTCCACATCCTTTTTTTTTTTTTTTTAAAGATTTTATTTATTTATTTTTTCCCGCCAAAGCCCCAGTAGATAGTTGTATGTCATAGCTGCACAACCTTCTAGTTGCTGTATGTGGGACACAGCCTCAGCGTGGCCAGAGAAGCGGTGCGTCTGTGTGCGCCCGGGATCCGAACCCGGGCCACCAGCAGTGGAGCGCACGCACTTAACCGCTAAGCCACGGGGCCGGCCCCAACTCCACATCCTTAAATGTGATTTTGTTTTATGTTTATCCTGCATGGAGTTCATTGAGCTTGAATCTGTTAATTTATATCTTTTATGAAATTTGGGAAATATTTGGATGTTATTTTTTCAAGTATATTTTCTGCCACTTTCTATCTTCTTATACTCCTATTACACGTGTATTAGACCTTTTGATATTGGCCCACAATTCCTTGAGGGTCTTTTGATTTAAAAATTCTTTTTCTCTCTGTTCTGCAGATTGGATCATCTTTACTTATCTATCTTCAGGTTCACTGAGTCTTTATTCTGTCATCTACAATTTGCTCTTTTTTTGTGTGTGTGAGGAAGATCAGCCCTGAGCTAACATCTGCCAATACTCCTCTTATTGCTGAGGAAGACTGGCCCTGGGCTAACATCCATGCCCATCTTCCTCTACTTTATATGGGACGCCGCTACAGCATGGCTTGACAAGCAGTGCATCGGTGCACGCCCGGGATCCGAAACGGCGAACCTTGGGCCGCCGCAGTGGAATGTGCACACTTAACCGCTTGGGCCACTGGGCCGGCCCCTACAATTTGCTCTTAAGCCCATCTAGTAAATCTTTTATTCAGATGTTATTTTTTTCCTTTCTAAGTTTGCTATGGGTTCTTTTTTTATAGTTTTGTTTTTCTGCTGAGATTTCCTACTTCATTTTTTGTGAGCTTATTTTCCTTTACATCTTTGAGCATAGTTACACTGGCTCTTTAAAAATTCTTGCCTGCTAATTCCAGCATCCGGATCTTTTCAGGATCAATCTCTGTGGATTGTCTTTTCTCTTGAGTGCATGCCTAGTAATTTCGGATTGTATCCTAAACTTGGTGAATAATACATTTTAGAGACACTGGATTCCGTGATGCTCTTCTGAAAAGTACAGTAATGTGCCACATAATGGCGTTTTGGTCAATGACAGACTGCATGTACAGCAATGGTTCTATAAGATTAGTACCCTATAGCCTAGGTGTGTAGTAGGCTACACTATCTAGGTTTGTATAAATACACTCTATGATGTTCGCACAACGAAATTGCCTAACAACACACCTCTTAGAATGTATGCCCATTGCATAACTGTACTTATTTCTTTTTTAAGGGAAACAGTTTACATGGCCAGAATGAAGCTCCCAATTCCTCCCCGCACAATGCCCCCCTGCAGTGGATAACAGCGGGAATTGCTTAAGTTCTTTGGCTCAGCCCTGCTGCTTCGAGTTTGCCTTGCTCATGCCTGGTTACAGGATCAGCCAGACATTTGGGCAGTTTTACAGAGTTTTTGGATCCCTCTCTCTGGCTCTTCTTTCTAGTATTCTCCCTCAGTTTCTATCTGCTCTGGTCACTCTGAACCTGGTCCTCTTATTTTTTAAGCCAGCAAGACTGTGAGTTTTCTATTCAAGTTTAGCTGCACTGCTTGGCAGGATAGGGCCTGTCGTCAGGCACAGAGCCATTAAAAAAACAGGAAATGCACCCATAAGTGTTTTCCTTCCAAGCATCAACTCTCCTCTAGTGTCTTTCTGTTTCTGATTTCTCTTCAGCGCCTTCAATAGTTGTGAGATGTATTTTGTCCAGTTTATAATTGTTATCTGTAAGGAATTGGTCTGGAATGGGCTAGTCCTCCATTCCCAGGAGCCTCATTTTATAAATATTTGATGTAATGTTTATTTAAAAAAAATATTTTCAAATGTAATTTTAAAAAATGTAGACTATTGTTTTGAATACCAAATTATAACAGGTGACCAACATTTTGATTTTTCTGCCAGGCAAACTTGTTTTTGCAAGGACCTGGCAATAAAACTTGTGACATCTCTATTTAACTGAGTGGTATCCAAGGATTGTGTGGTGTGCCGTGAAACACTTTGCATTTGCATCTCCTTATGTCTGTGAACCAGAATATTCTCTAAACTGTGCAGGCAAAACACAGTACATAAATAATGTGGAAATTGAGACTGTTTTAACAAATTGCCGGCCTTAACCCCAGTCTCGCATTTTTATGTTCACCAGATAACCTTAATATTTTCACTTGAGTGTTACAAGTTTAAATTTATGAATAAATTTATAC